CTAGAGCAGATTTTAAACTACTTAACTTAAAAGAAAAGGGTAAGCCTGCCTATTTTTGGTCAAGAATTTGTTAAAGATTTATGATCTGGTTGAAGAAATATTATTGAGCAACCACAAGATGGTTTTATATTCAGATAACCATTATATGTTGGCCATGCCTCATTTACTAATAATTTCTTTCTCTCTGCTTTCTGCTGCTTCCTACCTACTAGCATCTTTTGTTAACATATTACTATGTAATGCCAGATTCTTTAAATAATAATGAGTGATAGTTGGAGTAATGAACCATTGATGTCTTGTTGCCACAAGGCTGCAAAAAAATCAGTTGCAACTCTCTTTGCTGAGTGAAAGTAAAGGTAGTATAGAATTTATCACCTACGTTTTATAGAATTCTTCTTTGAGTTATGTACTTCAAGATTCATATTCCAGATTCTTTCTTAACTAAACTATAATTTTTATCTCTGGAAGTAAAAACACTCATCAAAAAAATATTACTACAATGTAATATCCAAGTTTTGTCCTAATACGTGGTATAGATTTGAGTTGTTTGTGATTTGGAATAGCTCTGTCTCTCTGAATTAGGAGTAACTCAAGAAGTGTTGCCAACATTCACAGATATGAATAGCATAATTAAAGTCAAGGTGCTTTTAAAAATTTAACCTTTTTCTTATTGGCATTACTTTTTTAATTTTTAAATTTTAATTCCAGGATAGTTAATGTAACAGTATTATATTAGTTTCAGGTGTACAATATAGTGATTCAGCAGTTCTGTACATTACTCAGTGCTCATCATGATAAGTGTACTCTTAATCCCCTTCAATTATGTCACCTGTCCTTCCCATACACTCCCCTTTGGTAACTATCAACTTGTCCTTTATAGTAAAGAGTCTGTTTCATTGGTTTGTCTCTCTCTTTTTTTCTAAATTCATTCATTTTGTTTCTTAAATTCCACCTATGAATGAAATCATATGGTATTTGTCTTTCTCCGACTATTTCTCTTATTATACTCTCTAGACCCATCCATGTTGTGTGTGTATATATGTGTGTGTATGTATGTTGATATGTATACATATATGTTGATATTATATATGAGATCTTCTCTATCCATTCATCTATCGATGGACACTTTGCTTCCAAAATTTGGCTATTGTAAATAATGTTGCAATAAACATAAGGATGCATTTACCTTTTTGAATTAGTATTTTTATCTTCTTTGAGTGAATACCCAGTAGTGGAATGACTGGGTCATATGGTAATTTTGTTTGTAATTTTTTTGTGGAATTTCCATACTGTTTTCCACAGTGGCTGTACCAGTTTGCATTCCAACCAACAGTGCAAGAGGGTTCCACATCCATTTTCACTACATCCTCACCAACATTTATTGTTTTTTGAGGTGTTGATTTTAGCCATTCTGATAGGTGTGAGGTGATACGTTTTGTGGTTTTGATTTGCATTTCTCTGATGTTGAGTGATGTGCAGTGTTTCATGTGTCTGTTGGCCATCAGAATGTTTTCTTTGGAGAAATGTCTGTTCATGTCTTCTGCCCACTTTCAAATTGGATTATTTAGGGTTTTTTTTTTTTTTTTTGGTGTTGAGTTTTATCAGTTCTTTATATATTTTGGATACTAACCTGTTATCAGATATGTTGTTTGCAAATATCTTCTCCCATTTAGTAGGTTGTCTTTTGGTTTGCTGGTTGCTTCCTTTGCTATGAAGAAGCTTTGTATTTGATGCAGTCCCAATAGTTCATTTTTGCTTTTGTTTCACTTGCCTCAGGAGGCATATCTAGAAAAATGTTGCTGTGGCCAATGTCAGAGAAATTACTGCCTGTGTTCTCTTCTAGGATTTTTTCAAATTAACATTTTAATGTTTTCCCCTGTAAATTAATATAGGTGATAATTTTAACTTTTGCAGAGTCACACTTTTTCTGTATCTTCTTGTTTCATTTTCTCTTTTTCCACCTCATATACTTTCCCCCCCACCCCCGTCTTTTGCTCCTTCTTCTTGCTTATGGGAAAATTGTTGACTGTGAATGTGTAGTAGATTTCATTCAGTGAACTATAAAGTTGATGTGTATGTGACAATTAGAATAGGCAGGAGGCAGAGTAATGGGATGTGTTGCTGTCTAGGTGTCTCCCAGCTCTCACATTCCATGAACTTACACACTTCCAAATATTAACTCCTAAATTTAAAAACTCACACTCTATACCTTACTTCTATCACTATCCTGTCTCCTTTCTTCCATCTAAAAACCATTATTATTTTATGTCTTCCTTTTCTGGCTTACTTTAGGTTGTTAAAAGGAAAATAATAAACATATTAAAGCTAGATTTTCCAGGAGAGTATGAGCATGTTGGGTGTGTGTGTGTGTGTGCACACGAGTGTGTGCGTGTGTGCTTTTGTGTGCACACACACACATAAATAACTGAGATTTTTGTTTTCACTCAACCAACCCTTCAGAGGCCTTCAGAGTTTCCAGGTAAGTTTATTTCTTTAAAACATGACTGCTTTCTTTCATACAGTCATTTTACATCTACCAAGAAATGACTACAAGAACATCTGCTTTAGTACTCATAAACATCTTATCTGCTCGTCGTTTCCATTCTTTTATAACCCCTCTTCCAAATCACATCCAAAATGGTGAAAAAGAAAAACAAAAACAAGACACATACACACAAAAAACAAAGCTAGTATGATTTTAGATGCCAGTTGTGTCCTCTCTATGAATGTTTTCCATATTTTAAATGGCTGGGGAATTATCTTGCCTCTACCCACAGTAATTTAGAATGAGAAGAATCAGATAAGGGTCGTTTCCTCCATCTCCTGGAATTTCACAAGCTCTGTTTTCTTTTATACCTGATCAGGTCTGCCAGTAGCGAAGCTGTACAATGTAGTGGAGAAGTGCATACGGTTAATTATGACAATTACAATCAGTTCTTTACAATCTCTGCTGCTGTTATGGGATTTAAATACCATAATGTATGTCAAAAGGACAAAATAATGTTGCTGTGTTTTCTGCTTACAGCTGCTTTTATGACTGGGTTTTGCTCATAAACAGGTGGTTATAAGCTGCAATCCTTCCATGAATTCATTTATCTTACCTATCTCCTAATCTGGGTTCTCTGATGTGTCATTAAACCCAAGTGTTGAGATTCCCAATGACTCTGAGGGGATCTCAGGCCCTGGTTAGCATCCTCTGAGCATGTTACAGTGAAGATGAAACCTCGTATGGTCAGTGGAAGTAGACACCATGAATTTAGTTGATTCTCAAAGAGTCCCTTGCTACTCTCAGACTTTTGTCACCAGCCTCCCCACTCTCTCCTTCACGTTCCCTGTACTGTTTTCTGTCCTTGCTTAATCCCTACTTTTCCAGGTTTGCCTCCCTGAACTACTGTGCCTGGTTACTTCTTCCCTTTTTAGTCTCAAGTTTATGGCATGTTGTGAAGCCTACTGCATGTGGAAATGAGTTTATGTGCTGTTGATACACAGTTATTTCATGTCTGATGTAATTGAATCCACGCAGTGCACAGGTGGCCACCTCATCGTTGTTGAGGGCAGCTGAAAAATAGGTAAGGTAATCAGTTTCTTTCAGCACACCTTTCCTTCTCTGCATCTCTCACCTCTGCTTTAAAGGTAGGTATGGAGAGGTTCATGGCAAATGAAACTGTATGAGAGCCTTTTCCCCTTGAGTGTATCTTGTTTAAACAACACATTTCCAGTTAATGACCATCTGGTAAAGCTGACAGCGTTTAGTCCTCCTAATTCTTAACTGTCTGAAAAAAAATGTGCCCAACCTGCCATGGCTTATGACTGAATTATAAACCATGAAGCATAATAAAGTCATTAACTTTCAACATGTCAAATTTTACTTGAATTGCATCTTGCCTAGAATTTGATAGCCTTTCCCCAGCACTTAAGAGAGAAGGCCTGTGTGCTGTTCAAAAAGCACTTTGTCTTTTCTCAGAGAACCATTAGCTTTGTGTGGCTGTCTGGACATGAGCATCAGAAGGTTTGGGGGGGGTAGGGAGGAAAGTCTAGTGAACTAGTGTGGAGGAATAGAAATGAGGTTCACTAGGGAAAGGCAAAATTATTTCTTCCCAGGAAGAGAAAGGAACGAAGCTGTACATTTGAGTAGAAAGTTCATCCTGAAAATAGTGATTGACTTCATAGTGCAGGAAATTTTGGATATAAAGTGTGCTTTACAATTCTGATTACTCTTTCCCCTTTGTTCCCCACTATCAAAAATAATCATATTCTATAAATGTCAGTGGAATATGCTTAGAGTGAAGCTACATTTTTGGAGAACCAGGTGTCAGCTCTGTCAGATTTCTATGAATAGGCACATTTATATACACTTTTTCAAAGAAAGAAAGGTCACTCACCACCCTACTTGTAAAGCTGTCAGAGGATTTAGGAAAGAACTATGGTCAGCTGTCTTTTTACATAGGAAAGGAAATCTGGTTCTCAAGATATTTGGGGCATTGCAGTGAATAAGAGATATTAATATCCCCAGCCTCTCTGGCTAAAAGAATTTGAGACATTACCCACTGCTTAGCCCTACTGCAATATGAAGTTACCATGCAGAATGTGGAGGGGAAATGTGGGTTTTGGTTTGAATTACTGGTTTACTGTCCCCACACACACCCTTCCTTCTTGCTCCTAGATTCTTGCTGATTTGGCGAATAGGTATAAGATGGAGCGTGTTCAGGTATTTTCTCCTGTCTGGAGACTAGATGTTGGGTGCTTCATATTGTGGCATAGTTGGATGGATGGATGGGTGGATGGATGGATGGATGGTTGGATGTATGGATGAAGGAATGTCACAAAGAAGCTTTTGGGCAAAGTAGATTTTCCAGGTTTCTGAGGGCTTCTTGTTCAGGTGCTAGATAGCCTTGGAAAGAAAGGAAAGCCTGCCCTCTGGTGGTCGCCGTGCAGAAGCGCATCCACTAAGTCAGAAGCACATCCAATAAGTAGAGAAGGAAATGTCAACATTAGTTGGGTGGGTTTCAGAATAATTTGTGTATTCCAGATTACAAGTAGGTTATGGGCGCATCTTTCACCATAAAACATTTTAAAAATAAAGGGAAGAGTCTGTAAGGTATTAGAGTCATCTTTTGAAGCTGTTCAGCTGTTGAACTCTTGCTATAGGCCTACAGGGGCACTATCAGTTACTTTGTAGGTGAGATTGCAGTCAAACTGAGAATCCAGATATTAAAGGTAATTATTTGGCAAGAGTGAGTAAGGTATTTGTTTCCATTGCCTGAAGGAAGTTGGAGAAGAGAGACTTCTTTGCTGACAAGTAGCTGGGAGGAGTCCCTGCAGGTGGTGACATTAAGCCAGCACTTGAAGGGTGGGTAGGATTAGAATAAGTGAGGGAAATGGAGATGCATGTTCTTATTTTACAGGCCAAGGGAATAGGAATGGCTTTGTTCTTGAAGTCAGTAGCAAGACAGAGTAGAGAGTTAGTGATAAATAATAACATGCAGGGAAAATTTGGAAAATGAATAAGAAATGAATTACATAAATAAGTGGTTTAATATAAATTGAATCAATGGGACATTTTCAGTATTCATCATGAAGCTAGAAAGTGTAGCCTCTGGACTTTAGGGGTGAGTCTAGGTTCAAATTCAGGTCTGACACTTGTGTGAGTCCTTAGGCAAATTATATAGTCTCTCTGTGCCCATTTTCCCCCATCTGTTAAACTCGGATAAGAATAGAATGTATCTTTAGACTGAGAGATATGCAAACATTGTCTAGATCCAACATGTAGAAGTTGAGTACAGGGAAAGTCTCAGTTGTCCTGAAGCTGCCTCTCATGCTGATGGTGAGTTTCCAGCTGCTTGTCGTGCATAATCAAAAGCTGAAGGACCTGTTGGCAGAGAAATTATAGAGATTTATAAATTAGATGGGTGATTAGATGAGGCAGTACCCAGAGGCCCTCCAACCTAGAGATTTTGTCATTAAAAAGAAAAAAAAATCCACGATGACCCTCAGAAACCTGAGATGTGCAGATAGTAATGACACAAGTTTACGTTTTATGTTAAAAAAACCATGCTTAAATTTGGTTCAAAATGTTCTGTTCTATGTAAAAAAAAAAAAACACCGTCACTTTAATTAATGCAGCCTATAATTGAAACAACTATCTCAAGCTGTTCCTCTCCAGTGCATCAAGGGAAAGAGTGGAATTGGGGGGTAGGGGGTGGAGAGAGGCAGAGGGTCTTCAGCCAATATGTCAGCTCTTCGAAGTTGCTCTGAGAAAACTGAACAAAGATCTCATCCTGAGTGTGAAAGGGGGCGAAGGCTTCAGGGAACACAGACTTTAAGTGCATTTCGCCCTATTCTAATTATTTGAGAAGCAAAGGGTGGAGAAGAAATGTTGACAGCAGAGGTTTAGGGGAGAACAGGCACAATGATGCCCTGTAGCATAGCACTATATTTTTTATGTGCCACATGTGGAGAAGGGAGGTAAGAACTTGGAGCTCAGAAGGTTTAAAAGGCAAAATGTAATGACTTCCCTTTAATTAACTCAAACAATGTGTGGCAGGTTACATTAACGTGCCTGTAGCTAAGACAGAGGTGGTAGGCCACCGCTGAGACCTTAGAGAGAGAGCGACTCCTGTTTTTCCAGAACAGAAAGGGCCTAGAAACCTTGTAGACTAATTTTAAAGGTGAGAGGACAAGCCTAGTACAGTTATAAAACCCAGCCAAGGCTATGTAATCTCTCAGTGACAAAGCTAGGCTAATACCTCGGGTGTTTACCCGTTTAGTATTCTCTCCAAGACACTGTGTATGATGAAGTTTCTAGTGATTTCAAGTTACCCCAGAGGGTCAAACTAACCATAGTGCATTTGCATATAGATTAAGATTTGGTGTATTCTCTTAACAAAAGTTAAAAAAGAAAGGTAAACATTAGGTTTCTACCTGTATCCATTTCAGTCAAGCTTTTCTTTTAAAGTTGCTTCAGAATTGGGACGCCTGGGTGGCTCAGTCAGTTGGGAGTCCCACTTTGGCTTAGGTTACGATCTCATGGTTTGTGGGTTTGAGCCCTGTGTTGGGCTCTGTGCTGGCAGCTCAGAGCCTGGAGCCTGATTCGGATTCTTTGTCTCCCTCTCTCTGCCCCTCCCCTGCTCACTGTCTCTCTCTTTCCCTCTCCCTCCTTCTCTCTCTCTCTCTCTCTCTCTCTCTCTCTCTCTCAGAAATAAACATTAGAAAAAAATTTAAAAAATTAAGGTTGCTTCAGGATGTTATTAATACCAGTGGCTGTTTCCATGTAGTTGTTTTAATTAAAGTGTTATATGTTCTTTTATAAATAAAGTGATGAAAATTTCTGATTATAGCCCTGTGGGAGACTGAGCAGGGAAGCCATCAGAATTGCAGGTGGAGGAGGTCACATTTAGATCGTGTGACCAGTGCTGTCACTGCCGTGTAGAATGTGCTACAATTGCAGCTTCTGATGTTTCAGGGGTGAACAAACCTTTTATAAAAAGGCAGCTACACATTAAAGTTAAAAAAATCACATAAAATATTTCAGGAGAGAGTGAGAGGAAGTGAAGAAAACTAAAATTCTTCTCCTATTTTACTTATTCAAGGAAATGAGTTTTGTGAACAATTTCCAGAAGAGTTATTAAGGAACAGTAGATTTTGCTTTACAAGTTGACCATTCTTCAAGGTTTTGTATTTAATCTCTTTTTGAGCTGAGACATAAAAAGCTAGACAGAGACCCTTTTAAAAAAAACCTTTTGTTAACCTGATGAGTGGGAGAAATAGGAAGTAGAAAATCTTTCAGAAATTATTGGGGATTGGGGCAGTGTAATAAATGGTGTTCCCTACTCAGTTCATTATCAGTTGAGAAAAACACATGAGTTAAATGGATGGCGATCAGGATTTGTCTTCCATTTGGTGATGTACTGGTAAATTGTTTAACATTTTGGGAAGAAGGAAGATGATTTTTAGTGTTTATGGATTTCTGTGAGGTAAATACTCCCACCTTGGTCAAATTCTCACTGCCAATGTGATGCCATTGAATTTGGAGCTGGGCAGAGATCCACGCATTTGCCTCTTGTAAGGCAGTACAGTCTTCAGACACCAGTGCTTGAGACCATCACTTATAAAAGGCTGTGTTATAGAGCCTAAGCAGCCTTAGACCCAAGCATTCTTGCTAATGGTACACTTTAGAATTAGACAAAGTTAAAACACAGTTCCTTCTTTGGGGACCTGCCCTTAGAAAACTTCCAAGAAGGATCAAAGCAGAGATTGTGCTTTCTGTAGGTGTGTTGGCGTCACTGAGAGTTTGTCTCCCAGATTCTACCAGTCGTCTCAGTCAACAATCTGAATCAAGTTGGGGAGAGAGGCCAGAGTGTTACTCGGATGGGAGGTCTCTCTAAATGGAAGGAAACAAGGGAAATGGGGAACAAATGTTAGCCCTTAGCAAAATCGCAACTCAGAATGTTCCTTCGAAAACTGTACAGGATTAGTATCAACAAGAAGATTGGAGGCAGATTTTACTTTAAATCTCTTACCGTTTTGGTGTATAGATATCAATTGTAAAATCATCTTTGAGGCTGGGAAGTGGCCAGAAATTTGGTTATCAGGAAAAAAATAGAAGTTTTTGGGTGGTATTTAAACATGGGTAGAGTATGGGGCACCTGGGTGGCGCAGTCGGTTAAGCGTCCGACTTCAGCCAGGTCACGATCTCGCGGTCCGTGAGGTCAGGCTCTGGGCTGATGGCTCAGAGCCTGGAGCCTGTTTCTGATTCTGTGTCTCCCTCTCTCTCTGCCCCTCCCCCGTTCATGCTCTGTCTCTCTCTCTCCCAAAAATAAATAAACGTTGAAAAAAAAAATTTAAACATGGGTAGAGTAATAAACCCCAATTCCTTATTTTGTAGGAAGATACTGAAAGACAGATTCCTGTTTAACATGTTGAAATTAAATTATTTTCCAGCTGGGTGCAACTGAAAGAAACAGGGCAGGCACAGGAACTCGAACAACTTCATTGCCTCAGAGAAGATGATGGACTATTATAGTGAATATATGAAATGGTATCTGGCAAAAGCAGAGTATTTGATCATCTTACCTCTTTGTAGTTGATGTTCAAAGTCTCTGCGCTCAGATTTATACCTCTTTGCTTACACATTCATCATTGTGAATATGCCAATACTCTGAGAAAGTAAGCCTGGAATTGAATGCATGAGTCCGTTTCTTCCTAGTGGAGGAGAGTTTATTATCCTTGTTGCTGTTGTATCATTATTTAACATGTGACGTTTCTATAATTAACAATGGTTATAAATTAGCTTGCTCTTCTAACAGTGTGGGCCTAAATGCCCATAGTGACAGTTTATCTTTGAGTGCAGAAATTCTGATTATAAGTCAAGTGTCTGAAAGCACTTTTGTTGTTATCATCATACTGGAAGAGAAATCTTTGGTTCCATAAGAACCCACCTTCTCATTCTGTTGCCTGTGACATTGTAGAGACCTGAATCTTGGGTTCATATGTGTCTGCTTTCCTTTGTTATAACATCTGGCCTGTTGTGGTGATTAAAATCTGAGATTCTGAAGTCAAATGGAGGTGAAGTTTATAGTTCTGGCTCTGCCATTTTACAGAGAAGTGACCTAATCCGTTCAGACCTGAGCGTTTTTCAGATTTAAATGGGCATGAAGGGGTGTCTGGGTGGCTCAGTTGGTTGAGCATCTGGCTCTTGATTTCAACTCAGGTCATGATCCCAGGGTCATGGGATTGAACCCCATGTCAGGCCCTGCACTGATCATGGAGCCTGCTTAAGATTTTGTCTCTCCCTCTGCCACCTTCCTCTCTAAAATAAAAGTAAAATAACATGGAAATGAAAACACATCTATTTCATAGGGCACTAGTGAAGAATAAATGGTATAGTGTATATAATGCAGTTTGTAAAGGGCCAAGTGTATGGTGACTGATCAACATTTGTTGGCAATTATAACAGTCGTCATTTTTTAAAGTGTTATGTTATAAAACACGTGTAACTTTAACACACACCTTCTATGAGTCCATGTCTGAGGACTGACTCATTCTCTGGAATTTTGGCAATATGTATTTCCCAGAGTAACTCCTACTAATGAGACAGGCAGTTTGTCTTTCCAGCCTACAGCTTCTCAGGTTCACATCTGTTTCTTTGCTTTGTCACTACCCTGACTTCTACCCTTCCCTCTTGTCTCCCTAGAACCCAAGGTCCTCATTTATTACCTGTTGTTCCCCATATAAAAGTCTGATGTAGGAAAATAGTATAATAAGCTGTTTCATAATAAACAATTCATTATTAGTATTCTTAATGCATTGCAGCAGTGATACAGTCTAAGAGTATAATTTCAGCATTTAGGCTGCAGGTGAGAAAGGTATTTGTTTGGCAGAAGATTCCTTTTGATGCTTCTGAAATCATAGTCCGATTTGTAGCTGTCTACAGTCTACAGTCCATATGGCGGCCTTTAATTATACCTGTTGCAATAATCCACTTAGCCAAGGTCAAACATCCTCTGATTACATGTTCTGTTGTTATTTCCTAGTTGTCATATATCCTTGGCAGCTGTCATCAGCCAAATTTGGCATTTCTAATTTTTAGTGGCACTCATCCTGTCCTGAGTTTCCATAACACATGCTTTAGCCTTGTCGAACATGCTTCGCTTCCACTGGGTTAGTCATCATTTCTTGGACCTTATTCTACTGTAGGTAGTTTCTGCAGTGATTTTAGCTCTTTCCTAGCTTTACTTTTCATCATTTCACGAAACTCTCTGCAACATGTCAATTAATCAACAAAAACATCTGCTAGCTTCTTCCCCAGGATGGGCTGCATTTCAATGGGAGGTGGATTTAGTCCAATTCAATCTAACAGTTATGTTTGGGATGCCAACAATGAATAAATTAAATTAACCTTTTTTGAGCACCTACAGTGTTAGAGTCCTTTGCTTGCTTATTTGATTATATACATTAGCTCATTTAATCCTCTCAACAACACTGTGAGATATGCAGTCCTCCTCTTGTTCTTTTCAGATGAAGTCATTGAGACTCACAGGTTAGATATTCTGTTCAGCACTTACAACTAGTAAGTGGTAGAGCTAAGAATTAAACTAAAAGCTCCCTCCCTGGCTCGGAAGTCCCTCAAGAAGAGTAGATGGAGCGATGCAAGGGGGAAAGTATAGTGGAGGTTCTTGAGGCTGGACAAACAGAATCAAACTTGTAGGCAGTACGCTTTCCGAAGATTCTGAGTTAGTTTCTCCTACTCAGACTTTTGATTTTGGATGGCTTGGGATTTTGTGGATAGGAGGTAGAATGCTATGAAAAGAACGTAAACTTGTGAAGAAAGGTTTCTGTAAGTACACCAGAAAACTAGCTTGCAGGTAGACTCCCTTGGTGGTAAAGGGTATATACCCTGGATCCATTTCCTTCTCCTTGAAGTGGATGGGACATCCGTCTACAGAAGGCTTGTGACAGGCCAGTGGTGCTGATAAAGTCTGAGCTGAGGAAGTGGGAGAGCAGATGTCAATGACAGGGCAGCCTTTGACCATGGCCCTAACGCCTGTCTAGGGGATTAAAACTTTAGTGACCATTTTCAACATTCCATGTGTACCTGGAGCTCTGACAATGAGGTATTTCCCTGGGTTGGGAATACAGATAGTGAGTAAGGGGGCAGGGGCAGTAGGTGGTAAGGAATATGTGTGGGGGTGGTGTTTCAGCCTGGTTGGCTAGATGTTGGAATCACATTCTACCTTCACCAGAGCAACTGAGGCCCTTCTGAAGAGAAAGGCAGAGATAGAAGTTGTCTGGGGGGTGGGAATCTCGAAGTTTCCCTTTATTAGGTCATTTACAGTCTTGAGACCAGTAGGACTTCAGTGCAACTAATAGAGTACATGGTCATCTTCATCTGGGGTGTATAAATGCTTCCATTCCTTGAGAATTCTACCCTCTATCATTATGACATTTGATCTTTGAATTTCATATCTGGTTTTGCATACATTTAAATTCTTGATTGACTCAGGTCTCTGGAGGACTTCTTTTGTTGTTGTTAGCTTCTGATTGAGCCTTTATTCTCTCCACATGACTCCTTAGCCAGTGCATTTGAAATGTTTGTTCTGAGGGGAAAGTTAAAGTCAAGTATGTGAGCTTATTTTCTCCCTATTAAGTAAGGTCTTCACAGTTTGTAGTTCCAGGTATTCAGTGTTTCATGTCTTTGGTGCTCTTTTAGAAATGTGTATATTTTTCTACATTTTTCAAAAGCATGAATGATCCAGAAGATCAAATCTGGCTTATATAAGTCTGTAAAGTATAAAGGAAACCCAAAAGCTGATAATAATGTGCTGCCATCTCTTCCATTCATAATGAGGCTCTGTAGACTTTCCATTTTGATGAAGCATAGGGAGCCCACAGTTTACCTACATCTACCTGATAGAAGCCCTGTGTGGTTGAGCTCCTCTAGCTAGGTTGAGGTTGTTGACAGAAAGAAGACAATGGAATACTTCTCACTTGATCTCCCCCCACACACTTTATAGCACTTCTCTGCCTACCACTTTATTTGTTGATATTAGTACTTACCCCAAAACAAAATCATAAGCTTATTTGGGGACTGTGGTCTTGTCTTATCTATGTTATCTCCCAAAGTATATGGTTATAGCTTCAGCACCCAGTCATTATTCAGTAAATACTTGTTTACCACTGCTTTCCTTTTCTGCATACTTTGGTCGGTAAACTGTGGACAGAGTGAAGAAGATACAGGGTCACTTCGGACATGTTTCCTTTTCTCACTCTGGCCCCCTACCATCATCAGTTAAGTAATCCATTTGTCCTGAAAGAGACAGGAAAGATTCTCTGAGAAGCAGGTGCCATTGAAAATCATACACGAATATTAAGATCCTAAAATTCAGGGGGAAAATATCTTAAAATTCAGACTTTCTGATAGGAAAGAATGTGTGTACTTAATATCTTTCTCTTTGAAAGTACGATCCAGTTGGATGCTCAGGAGTAATATGCTCTTCCTAGTTCTGAGATTAAAATCTCAGAGCCAAGCGATATGATTAGTAAAGCATTTAACATTTATTAACTGTTTTATGTATACAGTATTTTATGTGTAAATGTTTTATATGCAAAATACTGCACTGTTTTACATGCATTGTCACATTTAATTCTCATTAAAACTATTCATTAGCTATTTTGTGGGTATTGCTATTATCCCCATTATACACATGAGGAATGAAAGAGATCAGGTAACTTGCCAGTGCCCCCTAGCTGTTAAATGGTGGAGTCAAGATTCAAATTCACGCTTAACTTCTACTCTATACATCTGCTACCTTCCATAACCCTTAACTTGAGGAAAAACTAATCTCCCATGTACTAACTGCCATATATTTGGTAGTTGAGGCAAGTAGATACTTTTCCTAACCACATTCTTCTAGTATTTTGTTGGGATAAATTTTAGAGTTTGGAGCTTCTGTCCACCACCTACACACTAATCTCTTGGAATTGTCACTTTGGGTTATGACAATTATGACACCTGTCTTTTCATGAGAGAAGTGGAATTGGGTCATAACATCATCACTGTTAGCATTTTCTGATTTGTTATGTGGATGACTTTGTTCTAGGTTATCATGATGTATGTGTGTTGTGTATATTTTCAGGTATTATCTTGTCACTTGTTCCTACTCATTTGCATAAGTTCCTACAAAGCTAATGCAGAATTGAGAGTTATATTAACTGTAATTATCAATGGGACTTATAACTCAGATAGAAAATGTGAGTTATATTGTATGGAATATAACTTTCACCAGTTACTTTATAGGTTATATGGAATCACAGAAGCACAGGCTTCATTATTGTGACTTGATTTTTATAAACCAAACAGATTTATGCCAGGAATTCTGAAACCTTATACTCTTTATATTTGTTGCCTTATGTATCACTAAATACTGATGAATATGTAAGCATTAGAGTTTTTGGTCTTAACTGAATGAAGCTTTCAAAGATTTTGTTTTTTCTTTCTTGGAATCATGCTGAATCTTCTTGAAGAACAAACAGATTTCATGCCTTCTTAAAGTTTGCTGTGAGTTGTTTTGATAACATTAACATAAGCATCAAAATAACACAAACTTAGAAAACAGATGCAGTGACTTATCATTTCTCCGAAGCCTTTCTTATGTCATGCTTATGTTGTAAGTAGAAGAGTATGATCTTGTGTTGTCATAAAGAAACAATCTGAGTGTTCTTTGTGTGTGTGCATGTGTGTGTCTAGCCTTAAGGAAGCAGTCTTTGACTTTAATTCTGTTTCAAACATGCACTTTTTAAAAAAATTTAATTTATTTGTTTAATTTACATCCAAGTTAGCATATAGTGCAACAATGATTTCAGGAGTAGATTCCTTAATGCCCCTTACCCTTTTAGCCCATCCGCTCTCCCACAACCTTTCCAGCAACCCTCTGTTTGTTCTCCATATTTAAGAGTTTCTAATGTTTTGTCCCCCTCCCTGTTTTTATAATATTTTTGCTTCCCTTCCCTTATGTCCATCTGTTTTGTATCTTAAAGTCCTCATATGAGTGAAGTCATGTGACATTTATCTTTCTCTGACTAATTTCACCTAGCATAATGCCCTCTAGTTCCATCCACGTAGTTGCAAATGGCAAGATTTCATCCTTTTTGATTACCGAGTAATACTCCATTGTATGTATATACCACATCTTCTTTATCCATTCATCCATTGATGGACATTTGGGCTCTTTCCATACTTTGGCTATTGTTGATAGTGCTGCTATAAACATTGGGGTGCATGTGTCCCCTCAAAACCACATACCTATATCCCTTGGATAAATACCTCATAGTGCAGTTGCTGGGTTGTAGGATAGTTCTATTTCAAACGTGCACTTTCAAACACGTACTTACAGCCTGTCATCCATAAAACCTAGTATTATGTTTTTCCCATGAATAACAAGTGTCTCACTCAGACTTCCTCTTAATTCAACCAGCTTTCCATCTCCTCATTTCTTCTAGGTGCTAGACTTGTTTTTCAATCTGTAAAGCCAATATAGGGTAGGTTTATTTAACAAATATTTTTTGAGAGACACTCTTATAGGCACTGAAGATACTTAAGAAAACAGGTAAGTCCTTTTTTCCAGGAAAACTAAAGTTTGCACTCTAGCTGAAACAATAAACAAGTTAAAGCCATTAAATGGGTAGTTTAAGTTAGTGATGAACACCATGAGGAAAATAGAGCAATGTGATAGCAGGATGGGGTGGGAATAATATATTATCTACTTAAGGAGACACTCTAGTTGGTGACATTTAACTTAGATCTGAATGAGAAGTAGACAGACATGAGAATATATATAAGAGGATTGATTAAAGCTGAGGGTATACACACCAAAAGCACATTTAGTGAGGTATGAACAAGTTTGGCAAATGTGAAGAATAGATTGGCCAGAGAAGTTTAGAGAATGGGTATTTGCAAATGAAGATTTATTAGTGATAAAAGCTTTGTAAATGTCCACATAGTTTTAAGGGACCAGTTAATTTAGCTTAAGGTCAGTAAAATGTTCTATACCAACAGTACATCCCTAGGGGATTCTTTAGAATTGTAGAACTTGGATAAATGATAGATGGATTATCAAGCATGACAATTAACTTCTCTTGTATGTTTGACTTGATTTGTTCTTTAATCTGTACTTATATAATCTTATTGATTTTAGAGAATGGTTACCTGTTTAATACTTCATCTGTTCATCAACCATTTACCAATGTCCTACCATATGCCAAATAGAGTCTTAGGTTTTGCGTATACAAAGATGAATAAGACTTTCCCTGTTATGAAAGCCTATACAAAAATGGATGTAACATAGGATTCTGAGCATATATTTACTGAGAAATACATTTTTTCAACAAATACAAATAATAAGACAAGCAGCTGGAGAAAATAATGGAATTGGTCAGTATAGATGGCCCCTGCTGATATGTAGGTAGTTAAAATATAATTTTGCAGGCCTAAAACACCTTTGACATCTGCTTATAAAACTGGATTAAGGTGTATATGATCTCTGTTATGGTGGAGAAGTTTATAAATTTGAATTCACGAACATCACTGTTAACGCACCTCTCTGGATAATAATATACTTGTGATTTGTATAAAGGGCCCCAAACCTAAGTTGAACTCCTGACCAAAATGCAAGATGATGAAGCGTTTTACTTGGCTCATCAGATCTGTTAAAACCATGGGCATCCCCATGGGTCTCCAAGTCAGTCTAGAAGATGGTGTCTTCCAGTCTGACAAGGAAAGTAACTGATTACCTGAATTTATATGAACTAATTCTGGTTTAAAACAGGTTATGTCTTCATAATAGCCAAAGAAGGTTTCAGAAAGAAAACAAAGTCTGGGTTAGTCTGAGAATTTGAAGTTAGAAGTCTGTACTTAAAATGTTATCAGCTTAGCCCCCAAATAACTATCCAAGGGGCTGAACATCTTCTGGTGATTCAACACCGTTAGTGTCTTTGTTTGACCTGCTACTATCTACTAGCTTTGTTTACCCATACTATTTGCTCTGATTAATTTAATGATCTCAGCAACCATATATGGCAGATTATTATCCTGACTACTGCTCGTCCTACCTTTTATACTCGTATATTCAAGTCATGTTTAACCACATATCAATTAAACTTCATACCCAGAGCCTCCTGCAAAAGTACCTTGGCTCATAAGTCTCCTGAAACAACGTGATAATTGATTTTACCTTCAATTATGATGTAATTAAAAAAAATTAAGACCATAAAAATATAGGTTTCAACAATTGCCTTTAAATCATTAATTCATTTAATCATCTATAAAAATTGAAAAAATAAGCATGGTCTTTCTCCTTTTCCTCTTTTCCCATATCCTTCTCCTTGTACCACTACTGTTCCTCTCTTCCTCTGTTTCCCCTTTGTTTTTTCTTCTCCTTTTTCTGTTTTATTCTCACCATCATCATCATCATCATAAATGCAATGTGTAAGAATATTTTAACTGATGGAATATTTATATAAAATGTGAATCTTGGTAAAGTGTAGGTTGTCAAATAATTTTAAGATAGTTCGGATTTAGTTGAAAATAGAAAAAAATATAAACATAAGTGGTTCCCTGTGGGTATCCTTGAATTTGGTAAATTAACTTAATTATTATCATAATAAGATGGACACCTGCCATTACTAAATACCTCTAGCCTCTTTTAGGAAGCTCTCTTCCTTGCTAATAGGAAGACTCATCATACATTTAGAGTTCGGCTGATGTTGTCAGTCAATGATAAGGACAGGGTTTTACACGGTATCCCACCTATACATCATTCTGTAATTTCATCCATTGTAATTTAAGAAGAATGACATAACCAGAGTGATTAAGAATCTGAGCTTTTACATCAAACAGTCTAATTACTGTTTTAGATCTAACAACCCCTAGCCTTAGATGAATAAATAAAATAAACCTTGAGTAAATCTTCAGTTTATGAATCTATGTTTTTTTTTTTTTTTTCACTTGTAAACTTGAACTAATAGAACATACTCAAACTGAAGATTGCTATCAGGGTTATATGAGGTAGTATATACTTTAAGTTTAGTAAGAAACTTACATCTAGAAGGCATTAAATGAAAGTGAATTATCACCATCATCATCATCAATCATTAACTTACCGTTTCTGTGCTTTATTTGATCTTAAACTATATGGAAAATTTAAAGTCCTCTGTTCCTTATGAGTATTTGACATTTGGTGAGAGCAAGTTGGTAGCAGTTCCATACAGGGCAGCGGTTTAATGTTGCAACTTAAAATGTTGTGGGTTGATGGGGGGTGGGAGGGAGGAGAGGGTGGGTGATGGGTATTGAGGAGGGCACCTTTTGGGATGAGCACTGGGTGTTGTATGGAAACCAATTTGACAATAAATTTCATATATAAATAATAAAAAAAAAATAAAATGTTGTGAGCTCTGGGGAGAGACAGGAAGGTAGTGGTTACTGATTCATGAAAAACCATTTTTAACTCTCAATCAGCCAGTTGATTACAATTGATCTGTTGTCCGTGCCATCATTGTGACATTTGGAATATATTAGACTACTATTTCTCTTAATATGGCGGTTAAAATTCAGTAGGCAGATAATGTGATATTGACATAATGAGTAAAATAATGATTGATAGTGACGTTGTAAAAGTAAGAAGGTTCAATGTGTTTGAAAGTCACAGAACTTTGAAAAGCGTTAAGAGATAAGGAATACTGATGAATAAGAGGTGACAGCCTGACACAGGCTATGCATAGAGAAATGAACCACTGTAGTAAGTCATTTTTAAAGAATACAGCCTCTAGAAATGTAAATATGGCTCATAAGAGTAACTTTTTCATTTAAATATCTATCAAAGTATCTATTGGAAGCAAACTAGATTTATACTTTATGATTTTCTCAAAATCATTCTTTCTTAACAAAAACTCCAGTAAATTAGTTTCAGTTTAAAGTATATTAAAGTGGATACTTCTAAAATTGGGTTCTTTGAAATTAAACAAAAGGGATTTAACTTTTTCCCTGGAACTGCTATAGATGTCACTTTATAATAAGGCAGGTAAGACAGTCAATACACAGAGGTTTTATTTTATGGACAGAACTAACATTGATTCATTCAGTGAGAGATGTCAATTAGAACAGTACTTCTTAGGCAATGGGGAAATTTCAGAGCCCTTAAACTAGAACATTATAGTATTATATTATCAAATATGTTACCATTGTGACCTCCATAATGACCCTTGCTCTTTAATGAGAGTGCATAATGTCAGAATCAGGGAGGCGAAAAAGCCAGATGGCAACTAATTTATCACCAGATTTATAGTCAAATTACCAAAAGATTGGAACTAATCGGGTCTGTTTTTCAAAATGAGTAATGGCATTTCAGAGCCTCTCTGGTTATACAGATGTTTAGATTGTGGATGTCCGAAGAATTCTAAGTCTGTGCTGGCTTTAAAGTTGAGATTCAATTGTTCTTGTGTGTCCAGGGTAGTATAACTCCAAGGGGAAGGTGTTCTGGGGAAATAAAAGGGAGAAAAAAATCATTTTTCATCATCACAGTGAAAAAGTCATCTCACTGAAAAAGTGCCAACAAACCCTAAATAATTTTGTGTTGATTATGCTAAATTAGAATCATGATAGCTATAATCATTTGATCCCTGAGGCATTAATGAAAATTCAGCATTATTTTGTGTAGAATATGTATCATTACCCTTGAGCTTAGAAATGATTATTAGTAAGTCTGATTAAATCTGGAAGCAGTGACACAAGCTATCTTTAACCTGCTAATGACAGGGCCATATTGTAATTTTATGATGAATGAACACAGTTTAGCATTTTTAGCACTTGGCGGGGAACATAAGAAGTCTACATTCATTTTCTTGATTAGACTGCAAAATAGTACAGAGCTCATAAGGAATGCTGCTTAATGAAATAGTGTTCTTGCTGATTGATTAACCTATCATATCTTCTAGAACCCACAGGACTGGTTATCCTTATATGATTGAAGATATTAAGCGATGTTCTAGACATCACAGATTCCTAGATGCAGGAGTATAAAAACAAATAATACAGTCATACCACTTCACAAGCATACATGGCCTTTATGTTTTCAAGTGCTTTCACATGTACTAAGGTTTCATTATGACCACAGTAACTGTGGGAGTGACTTAGACTTTTCACCACTTGCTTTACAAGTAATAAAACCAAAGCCCAATATGGTTTAGGTAAATACCTAAAGGTCCCAAAAATTGTCAGAAAGTCCTGGAACACAAATGTCTTTGCTCCAAATGTAGTATATTTTTGGCCTCTGTAGAAAATGGATTTTTTTTCCTTATTTTATGATTTTGGACAAATTGTTATCACTATCTTGAATTCTCTCTTTTTTTAAAAAAAATATTCTGTATTCATAGTGTTAGAGATTCTTCTTGATCAAAGGGCCACAGTCCTGATTTTATTTTTAGTGCTAGGCAAAACTGTTTTTAAATTTCCCCAGGCAATTTAGGACAAGTTCTGATCCCAGCCCAGCATCTGAGGCTTAGTAGTAGCTTGACCAATTGTACTTTCTTTTCTTCTCATTCTCAGCCCAATGCTGAGACCGCTGCCGGTGGTCTAAAGAAGGAAGTTTTCAGAATCTTAGTTGACCTGAAAACTATGTTGATGGCCTACATGATTTTATCATTAAAACTCTGTACACAGGCAAGTCCTTAACAGAACATAAAAATTAGTGAAAGTACAGCCAAGCCCTGTTGTAAAATGCATGGCTAGAGGGAGTTAGCACTTGTAAGAGCACTTGTACTTGAAACACAGCTTTGCGAGGAAGGGCATCCCCATACTCCATTAGCATCACAATGGCATTTTGTTGAATAGCTTGATTGAGGGCAATCAGAGCCAAAGATCTAGTTACTGGAGTCCCACAGGTCCTGCTTTGGCACATAACAGATGAGATTCTTTGGGGAAGATGAAGGGAGAAAGGAATCATTGTAACACACTGAAATGGTAAAATGAATGTGGAGGAGGGGGCAATGGTAGTGCCTAGGGTTCTGGAACTAGGTGGGAGGCAGGGGAAGCACTGTGAAAACATTTGAACACTAAACTAAATAAAGCCAGAAACCTGGCACTTCTCTCTTCCTCTCAGGTATCCAGTCGGTTACCAGGTGATTTGCCAGTTTACTTCTTTTTTTTTTTAATTTTTTTTAACGTTTTTTATTTATTTTTGAGACAGAGAGAGACAGAGCATGAATGGGGGAGGGTCAGAGAGAGAGGGAGACACAGAATCGGAAACAGGCTCCAGGCTCTGAGCTGTCAGCACAGAGCCCGATGCGGGGCTCGAACTCACGGACCGCGAGATCATGACCTGAGCTGAAGTCGGACGCTTAACCGACCAAGCCATCCAGGCGCCCCTGCCAGTTTACTTCTAATCATTTCCCTGCTCTATGTACTTCTTACTCATCACTGACCTACATGGAGTTCTCATCATCTCTGTTTAAAATAGGCTGGCTTGTTGGTGCTCACATTTGCAGGCATATCACCCTCAAAACCATCAACCAGACTATTTAGAACCTTACATTTTCGCACATGTCCCCTAAGCTTTGAGGTCTTCTTTTGTTCACAGGATAACATCTAAACCATGATTCTCTGTAGTGTGGACTCTCCCCACCTCTAAGTGTCCTCTCCTGATAGTGTTTATGCTGTGGAATTGTCACTTCAAGAACATTACTCTCCGTTTGGTGCCTTCATGCCTTTTCCTCTTTTTTGTACCATCTCTGATAGGATAAATTCTGTATACATCATTTGATTTCCCTGTCTCCTGTGTTGTTGACGTATTTTCCCATCTCATATCTCCACTGGGTCAGGTGCACTTCCCTGATTTTAGAACACCATTGCATACTGTATCTTCTTTATCCTGTGTTCCCACTAAGCACAGTGGTTGGCAGGTAATAGTTGCTCAACAAATGTTGGTTGATCTGATCACAGGAATAACATGAATAAGTAGATAGTTGCTAGGGCAACGAGTGTCGAAGTGACAAGGAAGTATAAAATCAAATGGCATAGTATATTAGTTTTCTGTTGCTGAGCAACAAATTGTCACAAATTTAGTGGCTTAAAACAATATTCATTCATTATCTCAGGTTTCTGAGATAGGTCACAAGTCCAAGTAAGCTTGCTTAGGTTTTCTGCTCATGGTCTCACCTTGATTTTAAGGCTGAAATCAAGGTTTTCATTGGACTTAATTTACATCTGGAGGTTAATGATGTAATTTACATCTGGAGGTTAATCTGCTTTAAAGCTTTCTCAAGCTGTTAGCATAATTTATTCCTTGTTGCTGTAGTATTCATGGTGGCTTGCTTCTTCAAGGCCTTCAGTGAAGAGAGGGTGTGTCTATTGCTTCAAGTCTCTGTCTACAAGGAAGGCTTAAGCCCTCTTAAAAAGGGCTAGCTTGCTTAGGTCAGGTCCAAGCAGGATATTTTTTCTTTCCATTCGCTCACAGTCTTTAGTTAGGGATTGTAATTATATCTGCAAAATCCTTTTGCCTTTACCAAATACCATAACATAATAATGGTAATGGTATTCTATCACTTTGCCACAAAGTGGGTACTGCCTAAAAGCAAGTGCAGTTCTGGCTTCACTCAATGGGGTAGGAGGGGATTACTCCAGGGCATACATATCAGGGCCAAGATCTGAGGCCCTATCTCAGTATTCTGCCTGTTGCATAAACAGTTTAGAACGGATTGAAAAATAGATTTGCATGGGTAGGTGGAGGAGCATGAGGCTGGAAGGAAGGGTAAAGACGATGTGAGGAAGTGTCTCATGTGGTTTTCTAAGAAATGTATACCTTGTCATGTAGGGAGGAATAACGGGGATTAAGAAAGATTAAAGTTTCTAGCATAACTTTTTCAGTACTGGAAATAAGAAAGACTTGGAAAATAGGAGGAGGAAGAAGCTGGAAACAGGGACAGTAAGTTAGGAGTATTTAGATGGCACTGAAACGTGGAGAAGGTTTAAGAATTGACAGGACTTAATTGCTGATTGATTCCACCGAGGGTAAAGAGGTATTCAGAGTTTCTAACTAGGACCACTGGAGTGAACCAAAAAATAGAGTAGGTTTTGAGTGTTCTTGAGTAACGCTGAAGTGGTAACTGCTTTTGATGTAGATGGTGAATCTCTTCTGTTCTCATTCTTGCCTTCTCTCTTGTCTTACCTTATTCCAGAAAGGATCTTGGCTTAGCATTAGAATACTGTAGACATACCAGTTTGCAATGACTTGGCAAAATGCCTTTAGGGAGAAATGTTTTATTTTCAAATAGCTGGTGAAGTAGACAGAGTCATGTTTTTTGAAGTTATCTGAATCCACGAGGTTGGCAACAGTTGAGAAGGACAGTGATCTAGCTTTCAGTTCAGAATTCTGATTGCGATCCATTATCTGCCAGCTCAGGCTGTTTTAAATCTAGGCCATTTGTGTGTGAGACACAATTAAATAAAGAAACAAACGCACAGTGTTGGAACACAGGCAGACAAAAGTATCTTTTGTTTTTCTCTCCACATCTGTAAGTAAATTCTGGACATCCTTTGCAATCTATCAACTAATGCCACTATAAGTTAATGTCTCCTTTACCTTATGTTTCTACCCTTAGATGGGGGGGGGGAGGAGATGATCATCTTTTCTTAAATAATCATGTGATGTAAAATTCACAGTCTTCCTATTCATGTGTTTTATCTTCAAAATATTTGTCTTTCTTATGTCTAATGAAAATCTCCTTTGGTAAATATAAGCTTTTAGTTTAGAGATTAAAATTTTTGTCTGAGGTTTTAAAATGTTTTGCTTTGTCCATTTTAAAATTTGTGATATTATTTCATTCAATAAGAATCGTGTAGATTGATTTATGCCCTTTGAATATTTAGTATTACGGAAGTGTCTCAGTCAACAAGACTCCCCTAAATGGAATTGAGGAATTTTGGAAATTGAAAGTCCAATCTTCCTCTCCATTAGAAATTTTGGTGTGGATTTATGGGCATCTAGTCTCTATTTAATCCAGTGATATGTTCCTCTACTTATCAGGCTTTAAAATGTTAAGTTTGGTCTTAAAAGGAAAAACTGGGGGCACCTGGGTGGCTCAGTCAGTTGAGCATCCAACTTTGGCTCAGGTCATGATCTTATAGTTTCTGAGTTCAAGCCCTGTGGTGGGCTCTGTGCTGACAGCTTAGAGACTGGAGACTGCTTCGGATTCTGTCTCCCTTTCTCTCTGTCCCTCCCCACTTTCCCTCTGTCTCTTTCTCTCTCTCGAATATAAATAAACATTAATTTTTTTTTTTAATTTAAAAAAGGAAAAACTGTATTCTCTACAGTTATTTCTGATACTAGATGTGTGGGGTTTTCCAACCAAGCAATTCTCCAATTCTTGATGGGCCCTGACTGGGTGTCATATAATTTAACTCAGTTCTGACACTAACTGCCTAGAGTTCATGCAGACCCTACAGGTTAAGGACTCAGTCCCACAAGATCACTCCCCTCTTCAGATGCTAGTTGCAAGTCCAAATTTGTCATCTGCACTTCTGACCAACTGACTATAAATCAGGGGTTTCCACAACCCTCTCTTCATCTATAATGGCTTATGGAACTCAGGGAAACACATTTACTGATTTATTATAAGGGATATAATAAAGGATACGGATGAACAGCTAGATGAAAGGTACATGGGGCAAGGCAATAGAGCAATTCCATACCCTATCCAGATGAACCACCATCCCAGCATGCTGGTTTGTTCACCAGCCTGGAAGCTCTCCAGAGTCCTTGCTTAGAGTTTTTAGGGAGGTTCTGTTACTTAGGCACAATTGGTTAAATCATTTGCCATTGGTGATAGGCTCAGAGGTCTGGAGGGGAGGGGCTGAAAGTTCCAACCTACTATCACCTGGTTGGTTCCCCTGGCAACCAACCCCCTTCCTTAGGGAGTCAACTTGTTAGCATAAAGTCAGGTTGAAAGGGGTTTGTTATAAACAACAAAAGGTGTTCTCTCACCCCTTCCCTCAGGGAATTATAAGAGATCAAAGATCAAATATATACTTTTGGTATATAGTTCAAAGATCTATATACTTTGGTTCAAAGATCAAATATATACTTTTTATTATATTATAATATCACAGGTCTGTTCTCTATGTTAAGCTGAAAGCTGTCTCTACAAAAGCTACTTCTGTTTACTTATAATCTGTTGACTGTCTCACCCAAGGTACAGAGTAGTGGGTGGGTTCCACTAAATCTCCACTGTCTTTTTTTCAATTAAATTTTTGTATTTCTTTTAACAAGTTATCACACAAATATATGAAAATATCCCTGCAAAGTTGATAATGAAAATAATAAGGTGAAGAAATATCGATCTGATCCTTCTCCAACCTCAATCCAGAGATATCACCTTCAACTCTTAATTGTTTCCATTTTACTGTCATATTTCTAAATTATGCACTTACAGTACAATTTTTTTGTATAAGTTTCATGACATTTTATATATAAATGCCCATTTTAGACATTTTGTTATTTTCCAAATATCCTCAATTTTATCTTGTAGTCCTTCTATTGAATGAATCTCTGCTAACAAATATACATAAATAAATGTATATTTTTATTTCCTAAGAGCTTTGTGTTTTATTTTTTTCCTTTTAATAGCATTTAGTTTGTGGTTCTTAATAGAAGTTATCTCTGTTAGCATCTTAAGAATGAGATTTTTTAAATTGTTTTTCTGTTCCTTGCACTGTGTCTTTTTTTAATGATTCCTTTTTTTTTTCTTTTCTATTTATCTTAGTCCCTGGCTTTCATGGTTCTCTTAGAGGTTATCTTACAATTTCTGGCAAATTGTGGCCATTTGTTTTCACCCAACGGTAAAAAGTCTAACACATTAGTTAGAAGCTGTATAATTATGGTTTTTTTTTTTTAATCAGTTAATGAAATTTACTAGAGCATAAATAGGTAGGGAACTAGCCACTTTATCAAGGGATTACCCTTCCAAAATGTCATTGCCTGTGGATCTTTTCTCTCAAGTTATTTGGTTTGTCCAATAATTGTTTCTTAGATATAACTCGGTTTCTCTGTGTTTGAATGTTTTGTTTCTATAGGTGGGTGGGCAGTGCTTGAGATCAGAGGAGGAAAGGGGCTTAGGATAGGTGGATTGTTCTCAGGGGTCAGTGTACAAGTTTACATGTAATCCTCCTATTTTCGTTATGACTCCACACCCCTGCCAAGGCCTGAGCCTGGGTCCTAAAATCCAAAGCTCTCCTCAGTTGTATTCTCTGAGTGCATGCATTTCCTTGCTATAATAGAGAGGGTATCTGTAGGGCTATTTGATCCTTGTATAGGCTTCCAACCAGTACTCTTGTTTTCAGTCGTACCTCTCATCTCTGCTTTCAGCAATATGTGATGCCTCCAATTCTGTATCTTTTTAGGGTTCTGTTGCAAAATACCCTTGTTTACTGTTGGCTTCTTCCTCTGCAGCTACTTGAGTTTCAAGTTTTTATGTTATTCCTCTTCATCATATCTTCCATTTTCCACCACTCTCCTATCCCACACCCCTACCCCCAAACTCCATACCAACCCTCACTGTAGATATACCACATCTGGTCCCATTTTCCCATCTTTACCTTCCCCTAGGATCACATCCACTTTTGAGCCTGATCTGTTCACTTGGCAGAATACCTGCCTTGACTCTGGACCACATCCTTATTTTCATTTTTCCTGTTTGCTCCATGCTGCTGCTCACTCTCCAGCTATCCATTTACTGTCAGGGGCATGTTCCAAAACTGATTTGGCATGGATCAAGTATGGGGCTCTAAATCAGGAGCCTGGGCTTGATGGAAGAAAATGCCAGAAGTCATTGATGAGTGGCTTGATTCAAGGGAATGATATAAGAAAAGTCACCTTGTGGAAAAACTAGCTGCCTGATAGTCTGTCACAGTAGAGTGCCAGGACCAAGAGTGAGAATCCACAAATGACACCGTGAGACATACTTTAGAGAGCAGAGACTTGAGCATTGGAGCAGGGAGATGGGTCGTGGAGGAAATTCCTGAGCTGCATGAACATCCTTAAGGAGTTTGGAAGAGGGTAGGGAGTTCCCTGGGCATCTGTTGAGAACAGGAAGCAAGAGTTGAGAATGCTACACCAGCTTGGCTAAGTTGTTTTACTGAAGTGTTTAAGTCAGAAGCCAATTGAGATATCTGTCATTACTGACAAACTTTAAAAGGTTCTAGAACTGGCAAAACAAGTAGGCCTGAGCTAAGTTAAAAGACAGAGCGTGACCAGCTGGGACAGGAACACAGCAAACTTGCTAATTAGTCTGGAGGAAGCCAATTGCCCACATTTTTATGGACTGCTAATTGCTAAAGTAGCAGCTTGCTCTAAAGACAAAAATAACAGCATGATAGTTTCTTGAATATAGTATAAAATGGCCTTTAGGATATAGGCTACATCAACTTTAAATATACTCCATAGTTCTTAAACTTAAAACATACACTGCTATTAATAAAGATACATTTTGGAAGTCAGTTATTCATTTTTTCTTAGACTATAAAATGAGAAATTATAGAATATATATGACTCCAGTTTGGGAAGTTGTGGTAAGGATTTTATTTTAAAGATACATTTCTCCACTTGAGTACCATTTCTCAGCCCATTTTAAAACATTTCCCAATAAAAGAACAAAATAAATAATTTTAAATGTGCTTTATTCTAAATACTGTGAAATTTTTCCTAAAACACTGTCTTTCAACCCAGTTATATTTGTGAAAAGAGAATGTGCTTAAAAAAAATTTACCTCTACTTTTTGCAATATTGAGGGCGTTCAGTAAGTATCTTTAGAAAGAAAGAATGAGTAAGTGAGCAGGTGCATAAGGGTTTGTGTGCATTAGAATGGTAGAATTTCATATTTATAGAGCAGTAGAGAACAACTAGTCCCCTTCCATTATTTTATGGATGAGGCAACTGAGGTAGAGAGGAGAAGTAGGGATACTGCTCCAGCGTCTCACAGTTGGCTAGTGGCAGCACTAGGCTTGGACCCCGTTTCTTAAGCCAATCAGTCCAGCACTCTTTGCATTCTAAGCTAATGTTCATTCCTTTTGCTTAAGAGAAGAATGAATTACTTTTGCAGGGTTGATTCTGACCCAAATCACATTAAATCAGCAAAGCCTGGCTTTGTTAAAGGCTCAGATGTCAAATGACAAAAGCAAAACATCTTTTAAAACAAAAACAAAGCCAAAGTAATTGGTGTGTTTGGTTTTATCATGAAGTGGAGTCTTCAAAGTCAAAGAGGGGGAAAATTTAAAACCTCGGTGCCATGGACTTAATTCGAAAGTGTAAATGTCAGGCTGGATATAGAGGAGGTAAGCTAGCCCTGAGGAACTATAACTATATAAAGGGAGAAAGCAGATTTCCTTTTCCAGTGAATCAGTACAAGTTAATGTATCTACAGACTTATTAATCTCTTGCATTGGTAGCTGAAATCCCCTAATTAGATTGACAACATATTTGGATATTGCATAGTGATTACATATGGCAGAACAAATCTGTTGAAGATGGAAATAAGTAGATGACTATTTAGACACAGCAATACCCCTAATGGCTTAGATGCCAGGTAACATTTCTTCACGTGTAGAATTTATTAAGAAGTGGCTGTGAATTGCTCGTCTTCTTAATTAAAGGTTTGGTTGCATTACCAAAAGGTTGTTAATAATGGTAGTCACTTATCAAATGTGTGACTCTGCCCGAGTTATTAATTATTCTGAGCCAAGTGTTTCTCATTTGTACAGATAGGTTTATAATGGCACCTACCACATGGGGTTGTTTGTGGATTAAAAGAGAGTATGCACATAAGGATTTGCATAGTGCATTCCACATAAAAAGCACTCAATAAATGTTAGCTATTATTATTGTTGTCAGCCACTCCAGGGGAGCTATATTGTAAGAAACCATACTTTCATTGCTGCTGCACTGAACTTCAGTAAATCATTGTTTTCTCACTGGCCTACCATACAATTTGTGGATATTTCTACCTCAAGATCCTCCCCAAGAGGACAATGCGATGTAGCTGAAAGATCTCTCTTCACTTGGAATTCAGAACATTTGGTTCAAATCCAAAGTTTGCAAGTACAGTTTGTGTTGTCTATCCTAGAACTCCTGGAAGGAGAGAGTCATTCATTTGATAACTTTCTGGATTGAACAAACTTATATCTTAAATTTTCTCAAGTTATTTAATGGTCTCTAAAATTGAGGCAATCGGGGCACCTGGGTGGCTGAGTCTGTTAAGCATCCAACTTCAGCTCAGGTCATGATCTCATAGTTATTGGGTTTGAGCCCCATGTAGGGCTCTGTGCTGACAGCTCAGAACCTGGAGCCTGCTTCAGATTCTGAGTTTCCCTCGCTCTCTGCCCCTCCCTCACTCAATGCTGTCTGTCTGTCTCCCACAAAAAATGAATAAACATCAAAAAATTTTTTAAATTGAAGCAATCATACCTATCCCTGTGGAATGCTTTGAGGATCAGATGAAGGTAAATAGTGAAAGTGCTCATTTGCAAACTCCATGGTTGTTGAATGAGTATCGGTAATTGATATTCTTTGAAGGCTCAAATTTAGTTACTCCTTCAAGGTCCAGGTGTAAAAGCCACTTCTTCTCTGAAGTCTTTCCTGAGTTCCCCAAACTCCAGACAAATGTCAGCTGTCCTTCATGGTCACTTCCATTACATTTCAGCTGGTCTTCTTTAGTACTCACAGAATGTGCTTCCTTGTAGGGCAGTACTTTATATTTCATTCCTGCTACTGCACCTTCAGAAGAAAACATCCATACCTAATTGCCCTCATTGTCACCTATAATGCATAATACAGTATCTTGTTTATAGTAAGTGCTCAACAAATGTTTGACTAACCAATGAATAAGCTTTTATTATCCCATATGTAATGCTAAGTCCTATGAGTTATAGGGAAATAATAGAAGCAAGTGAAGACTTAATTACAATTTTCTG